TAGTGGATTTACGCCACATGATTAGTGTATAGCAGAAATTTTATTAAAAAGAGAATAGAGAAATTACAGTTTTTAGTAGCTTATAGCCTTACAAAATAAATTTAAACAAAAGTTTATCTAATGTAACTACAAAATATAGAATATTATAAAATAATCAATTGATTTACATAATACAACAATGTCGCCTATATATTTAAATAATTGCTTTAAGTTTTATTTTGTATTTTATTTACCATTATAACTGCATTTTAATGTTTATTAATGATTTCTTTATAAACTAAAATAATTTTTATTTCAAATAATATTCATTCTATATATATTTATTTTTTTTATATTCCATTTATTCACATGTCTGTTAACAATTTAGTTTTTATTTTATATACTCTTCATTTTATATACTCACAATAATTTATGTATTTCAATATATACAAAATATGTGTATTTTTGAAATATGTATATATATATATGTGCATGCTGATTATTATATGCTTGTAAGTTATTTATTTACATTAAGGATATTATATGATGTGGAACAAAACCGGAAAATATTATGTTTTTCATCAAGTAACAAAATAAAAATACATATTTAATATATTATAGATATAATTAGTTGAGTCAACTCAAGGATATTTAAATTGTAAGAATAGTCTTTAATTATGAAAACGCCATAGTTAATTTGATAATTTTGGAATTCAAAAAGTAACAAGATATTTGGGAATAAGAAATGGAAATTTCTTCATAAAACTGCGGAAAACAGATGGATAACGTAATCAAAAGAACGAGTGAAGGTAGAGAAATTAAAAAAATGTTCTCCTCGAATTGAACTCGAACCGGTGACATACCATTTTCTAAAGCGTCCACCTATATGTTATACATATGTTTTTTGCAGTTCTATACAAGAAATTTCCATTAGTTATTCTTATAAGAATTACTTTTAATAATAAATATAAACACCTACACGTTATGTATTTGTAATTATTTGTAAAATATTTGGGACTGTTGAACTAAAATTTTTCAATTTGATTATTCATATTTATGTAAAATTAATTATTGACTAATGAAAATCCTTGGACTTACTAAAGGTACTAATTTCAATCTCCTGAATATTACAAGCTAAAATAATTTCATGGTTTACATATACTCGTAAAACTCTCATTCAATTGTTTCTGTTAGAACTTACAAACTCATATTGGACGAATGTATTACATAAATATTACATTATATGTAATTCTATCTTGAGTATTACAAAACGTAAGATAAATTTATAACACTCATATGAAAAAACTACACAATTTATATTTAACAAACTTACATATTATTCGAAAACGGATCATACAAAATACAATATTACATCAGAAGACTACATAAAACTTATTAGACTAGAATTCCTGATAACAAATATCTACATTAATATACATATACATACATATATTAAGGAAGATGTAGTATTTTATTATACGATATCATATAGAAAGAAATGAAAATGAAAATTTATTCTTAAGGAATGAAAATTTATTCGTGTCTTCATCTACAGCTCACAAAATATAATATAATTAAGTATGTATATAAAACGTTCTGTTTAGATTTGAATATATGTATATATATACAGTATCTACATGAAATGGTTTGTATTACTTGTATGTAATATTGTGTCTATAATCTATCAATGTCAACACAAATTAATTGTAGGCCTTATACTAATGCCAAGATATTAATATCCTGTTTGTAAAAAGTTTTTTTTTTCTTCAATAGTTCCTTAAGGTTTTAATTTTTTGTTTTTTTTATTTTTTGTCACAAAATATTTACAGAAATAAAGTACTATAATATAAAAAGCAGAAATACGAAAAAAAAAAACAAAATTTAATTGGGTTTATTTGTGTTTATAACAATATTCAATCTATATACACAAGGATATTACAAAAACACACAAATAGCTATAAATTAAATCTTTTATACAATAAAGAACTTGTAAGGAAATTATGTAAGGAATATTATAGCTAGTGAGTCGTTTTGTTAATGAGTGAGTGACTGATTGTACTAAAAATTATTTTCTTATATTCAATTCAATTTGACTGATGATGTTGTTTATTGTAATAGAAAAAAATAAAAAAACATTTGAGGATTAAAAATTTCAAGGTTCCTTTTTTATGTACAAAACATAAGGCTTGTAATCGCTTACCATTTGCCTTTTTGAAGAAATTTTTCCTTACATAAAAGAAACAAAAAGATAAAAATATTATTAGTTGTTATAATGATTTGTCAATAAAATTATAAAAATATAAAAAAAAATTTTAGTTCTCAGTAGTGTGCCTTTTTCTGAAACATGAAATATTTTTTACGCACTAGTTGAATTGAAAAAAATTGAATAATTTTTTTGAAAAATGGAAAGCCTTGAGAAATAACCGATTTCTCAAGGCTTTCCATTTTTTCCTCAGTGGTTTAGAAATACGGAATAAGGTGGGTAATTGTAGAAAGCAACAATTGTTTTTTATGGCCATGACGACCAAAATCACCAAATTTAATTACTTAATTACGGAAGTTTTTCTGTACGCACAAATTGTCTTAGCACAATATATTTTCAAGCAATGCTGTGATGCCTCATTACTTTACTATTGAAAAATCTAAGATATTTGAAAAATAAATAACCTTCATCATAGTGTACTTTGTGAGCGGTATTTAATATAAACTAAGATTATGTTCTCTTTAGTTAAACGAAAGAGTTGCGAGATAATTTGGAAGAGTGTTTTGCATGTAAATTTTATTTTTCAAAGAAATTAGTAAACTTCTGGGCAGACGTATACTTTCAGGCATTCTATTTATCCTGAAAATAATTAGACACTAAATAGAGAGAACCTTGAATAAATTTTTATTGTAATTTAAATTTTTTTTGTCAAATTTACTAAAGTTGAAAAATTTTAAGATTTTCAATTAATTTCTTTTCTTTAAAAATTTGAATAATTTTCCTCACCTAAATATTATCTTTTGTATATGAAACACCTTGTATTTTATTTAAACTTTAGATTCCAACATAAAGTATTTTATAATTTTTAAGTTATCCATCACTCAAATGAATCAAAAATAAATGAAAAATTTTGTAATCGATATTTATTCAGACAACTTGAATTCTATATTTATATGTACATGTTAAAATTACAAAGGTATTACTATAAACAATAAAACTATATGAAATAATATTTTTAATATGAAAAGGATATTCAAGGATTCTATACTATTTACTCTATATGGAACATAAAATACTAAACGGCTCTAAGGACATATTATTTCTTTTAACAGTTACTTTATTAGATGTATGTATAAGTATGTTATTCTAGTTATATAAATATGAAAAGAACAAACAGATTAAATTTATTTAGATAGAGTTAAAAATGATTTATTTAAGAAAACACATGGGCACTTATTCAATATTTAACTTGTAAAAATCTTCTTAAAAATGACATTTTGTGATTACCAGTGTTTATAGAAAGTGAGAAAATGTTATATTTTGCCTTTCATACATTTATATTCGAATTAAGATTTGTTAGGCAATTTAATAAAGGATAATATATTATTACAAGGATAAACAAAAAAATTTAATAGTGAGGGGAAAAAAACCAATTTGCATCAATTAAAATTAATTTCTTATCAAGTTGAGGCAAACATTTTGGATCAATAAAAATTAAAATCATTTAGCCAATTCAAACAACATAGAGGAATTCACAAATTCCGACAACTAAGCCAAATTTTGTTGAATTTATTCTAAGTAACGGAATTTCTTGTTTGTTGTCTTACAGAACTCAAAACTACTATTTTACATAAAAGAGATTGAAGTGTAATTTTGTCGATAAGTCATTACAGATCAGTATCTTGACTAAAGCGTTCAGGAAAAAATTTAGTAGGACTATTATTTGAAACAATGATTTAAGAAAATGTTCGTGTTATTGATGATTTTTGAGAGGTGCAACACAAAATCAAAATTGTTCCCCAGAAATTATAGCTGTTTCAGAGGTCGTACGGGTAATTGTCTTATTGGCGAACAATCCAGAAGGATGGGCCGCCCTACCAATAATCTCTACTTGTGTTGCTGTAACGAAATGGTGGTAAATCTCCTCTGCTTATATATGGCTTTGGCAGGAAAAAGGCGGCAATACCGTGGGCCATTTTTCTTTTTACCGACTAAGGATTTGGTGAATGTAAATTCCAGGTTCCTTAGCTGGATTCGGAAAAGCTCGGGTTGGTTCTTGTTATGGTGAGGAATTTTGTGAATCCTGCGGTATCACAACGGGCCTTATTGACATATGAGTGCCTCACGATAGGCGAGTCAAACTTTTTTTTTTTTTTTTTAATGTTTTATTTATTTTTTTCTTTTTTTTATAATAGTACAATTCAAAACAAAACTAAAGAATATTTTTTTTATAATTATTAATTTAAATGTGCAATGGCCCAAGAGGCTCTCCCATTTATAAAAATATGTTTTTAAAAGCTAATAATTCATTTTTTGTTAATATATTTAATTTACAAATTTTATGTACAAAATGTTAGAATTCATTGAATTCAGATATTATTTATTTAGTGTTGCTAAAAAGTTTTTATAAAAAAAGCAACTTTTATAATACAGTAGAAACCTGCTCTAGTGAACGCCCGATTTTATGAACTTCCCAGTCGAGTGAACACAAAAATTTTAGCATTGACTGCCTTACACTGTGAACAAAAATTTTTATAAGTGCCCAGTATAGTGAACAAATTTTACAAAACTGTTTTTTTTTTATATTATTCTTTTTATTTTTCTCATTGTAACGGGATTTTTCAAGTTGAATTACAAAAGAGAACATTATTTTGTTTACTTAACATATAAGTCATACATTGTGTTAGGTAATGGCATTCAATAAAAGTGTAATTTCGAGAAAATAAAAGTGTTCAAGTTTTTTTTAAAATGCCAAAAACAAATATTAAAAGAAAACATTTGAATTTAAATGAAAAAATTAAAATTATAAAATCTTTAGAGTCAGGAGTAAGTGTTACAACATTATCTAAGAAATTTGGTATAGCTAAATCAACCGTGTGCGCGATTAATAGCAGAAAACTGAAGTTAAAGAGCCAAATTGGGAAAATGTTCGTTATTAATAAAAGGCAAACTATGAAAAAAGGTGAACTTCCACGGACAGAGGAAAGACTTTACAAGTGGTTAGAGAAACAAAGATCCAAACACATTCCAATTACTGGCTTTATGATCAAAACAAAAGCAAAACAGATTAATTTAAAAATCAGAGAAAAAGATTTAGATTTTAATTTCAGTGATGGATGGTTAAGAAATTTTAAAAAACGTTTTGGAATACGTTTGCTTAAAATTGTAGGTGAAAAACTTTCCAGTCAAATAGAATTAGTGAAACCTTTTAAAAAGATGTTGCTTGAAAAAATGGAAAAAGAAGAACTAACTAAGGATCAGTTATATAATGTTGACGAAACAGGTCTATTTTATAAAAATTTGCCTGAAAAAACTTACGTTTTAAGCTCTGAAAAAAATGCGCCTGGAATTAAAAGTTATAAACAAAGAATAACTGTTCTTCTAGGAACAAATGCGACAGGTTCGCACAAGTTAAAACCTTTAATTATCGGAAAAGCGGCAAATCCAAGGTGTTTTAAAAATTTCCAATTGCCCTTGGAATATAATCATTCAAAAAATGCGTGGATGACGACTGATATTTTTAAAAAATGGTTCCATCATTCGTTTGTTCCACAAGTAAGTAAAATTTTTAAATTGATCTATTGTAGGTAAAATTTCTAAAAATTTATTTTTATAGGTGAAGAAATTTTTAGCTAGTAAGAACATAGCTCAAAAAGCAATTCTTTTATTAGATAACGCTCCTTCACATCCACCAGCAGAGCAGCTTATCAGCGAAGATGGAAAAATATTTGTTTTGTACATGCCACCTAATGTAACACCTCTTATACAGCCCATGGATCAAAACGTGATTAGAATCACTAAACTCAATTACAGAGCTTGTTTGTTAAGTTCTATTTTGTCAACAACAAATAACAGCGATATTATTACCGCAATAAAAAATATTAATCTCAAAGAAGTTGTCATAAATCTTACTGCAGCTTGGAATAAAATTGATAAAGAAATGATACTGAAGTGCTGGAAAAATATTTTAAAGGAAGATGAATTTGATGATGAAGACGAGATTCCTTTGAGTATTTTAATGAGAGATGATTTGGATATTAATGTACGAACTAAAGAATTAGCACTTTTGCTGAATACGGCTGATACGAATGTAAGAAAAATGAATTTATTTAGCCATACATATTTAAAATTTTAATTTTCAATTGCAGGAATATAGTCTTGAAGATATTCAGCGTTGGAATAGAGATGAAATTACCGATAATGAAAACTATTCAGTCTCTTCTGAAGATACTAATTTAACCGAAAATGTGATAGAAACAGTTGAAGCAAAAATTTCTGATTATGAAGCCCTTGAAGCGCTAAATAAGACTATACAATGGGCTGCAGACAACGATATCTTGTTAACCGACCAAGTCACACTTAGAAATATAAGAGAAAATATTGTTTTAAAAATTTCAAATAAAAAAAAAATTCAAAAAAAAGTAACTGAATACTTTTCGAAACAATAAAGCTTTAAAAACTACTTTTTAGTTTAATTTATTTGACATTTAATACAGTGAACAGGTTCAATAGAACGAACAGCCTGTGTTTTTATTATGTTCACTCGAGCAGATTTCTACTGTATAATGTTTAATAATTAAAATAAACTTACCCTAAACTTACATATACTAGAATAAAATTATCTTATACCTAACTTACTCTAATTTCTCCAAAAATATGTTTTATTATAATTAATAAGTTTGTTTAAATTTGGAATATATTTGTCATATTTAAAATATTCATTATTTTCTAAGCTAAGGTTATTTAAATCTAAAGGTATTTTTTTATTTGCTGCATTTCTAATGTAATGGTAAAGTATTGGAATATAATTAGAGCAATTTTCTAAATAATTATTTTCATCTAAAAACAAGAAAGCCTCTGGTGGAATGAAACCAGAACCCAATGTAGATCTTATGTAATCCACGTCAGGAAACCATGCATGGTTTATTAGTGAGTTGTTTGTTATCTGAGTACTTCTTAGAATGTGGTTACGTATCAGTTGTAAGATAAAATTATCTATTCTTATAATATTTGCACTATCATAAAGAGTTTTGTTGGAGTAGTATTGAATATAATTTGACTCAGGCGTTCTGTTCAGACCCGTGCAAGCTCTTAAACAGTTACGCTCAAACAATCTAAATTTTTCCATTGTTGAAGCACTTATGTTAAACCAAATTGGGCAACCATATGTAAGAATAGGTCTAATAAAGCTCATGTAGCAAATAATTTTCACTCTATTACAGAGAACCTTTGAATAGAACAACTTAGCTAAACTCATAAATGCCTTACTAGCTTTAGATAATTGATTCTGACAATGCGTATTAAACTTGTATAAATAGTGGTAATTAACCCCTAAGTATTTGAAGGATTTACAATTTTTTATATAAGTATTATCTGGAGCCTTTAAGAAAACGTTTTTCCAATTCCTTCTAATTTTGTAGTTTGCCTTGTTTGTAGTATTTCTAAAAAGAACGGTTACACACTTATTGTAATTGATTTTTAATTTCCAGTCATTGCAGTATGAGACAACTTTGTCAAACAGTTTTTGCAGCATATATCGTGCAACATTTGGATCGTGATTCACTGAGTAAATTGCTAGGTCATCCGCGAAAGCTATACTGTGATTTAGCCCTAAACTGTTGTTTAGGGAATCCAGTAGTCCGCATGAAAATATATTAAATAAAATGGGTGAGTTTACAGTGCCCTGCTGGAGACCGCTTAAAACTGCAAACTCTTTTGAGTACTTTCCTCTACTGGAAACTACTCTAAAAGTTTTATTGCGAATCATATTGTTTATTAATATGATCAGGTATAAGGGAAAACCATATCTTATTAATTTATATATTAGGCCATCCAACCAAACCGTGTCGAAGGCTTTTTCCAGGTCCACGAAACATGCCGCTACGCATTTCTGATCGTTAATATGCCAACAAATATCAGAAGACAATTTAGTCATTGCATGGATTGTACTATGTCTGTTTCTGAAGCCGAATTGATTCATAGGTATTACATTCCTTCTTTCAGATTCCTCAGTTAGGTATTTATTTATTATTACTTCAAAAACCTTACTTATATTAGGTAAGAGACTTATTGGTCTGAAACTACTAGGATCGGTAGAAATTTTACCCGGTTTCTTTATTGTTACAACCTTTGCTTTTTTCCATATTTCAGGGAAATAACTGAGATTCAGACAGTTGTTAAAAATAATACAATATTTCTCAATTATTGAATCAAGCAGGTTTTTTAATACCAAATTAGGTATTCCGTCAATTCCCGAAGAGATTTTGCCTTTCAGACCAGAAAATATTGATTTTAAGTCCTCTAAAGTTGTGAAGTAATTGTCTTTGTTTTGCAAACTGGAAATTTCATTTGATTTTAATTCGTTATTGAATTCGACTAGTGATATTTCATTGCATTCGTACTCCTGCGTTATTGTATTGAAATTAGAAATCGCAGAGCCAACTTTATTAGCAATCGTAGAATTTCTATAGGCAGTTTCGCGATGTACTAATGACAAATGTGATGCCATAGTATTTAATAAATCATCAGTATTTTCAATTATAAAATTACCACTATGTTTTTCCAATAAATTCAGATTAACACCAGCATTAACTAATATATTAGTATTATCGTTAGGGATAATTAATTTTTTTAAGTTTTCACAATTATATTTTTTATAAATTTTTCTAATTTCAGGAAACATACTTTTACTGTTACTGCTTTTAATATTTTTTATTCTGTTTTTCCAGTAATTACTAATCGACATTTTCAAATTTTCTTTAATCAAAATACTAACATTTTTAAGAAGTGCTTTAGTTCTTATAATTGCTTGATGATTTCTATCTGGAAGATTTTTAAGTAAGGCATATTTTGCAGATAGCAATTGACTTTTATATTTTCTTAATCTACACAAAATGGCATTGGAGTACAAATCGGTACCGTTATTTCCCGGATTGAAAACAGGAATCTCAATTCGAATGGCATTTTGAATTATTTGCTCTATTTTGTTTAAAAACATATCTATTTCGGATTTTGTTAAATTTTTGTTATTAGGTAATTCCCTAATATCATTGTTTAGTAGTACTTGTTTATCTATATTTTTTTTGAATTTGTGCCAATTCACCCTATTGTATAGATAATGATTATGAACTTCTGGAAGTTCAAACAAGAATTTCTCAAAATCTTCGTAGGAGATTTCAGTGTTTATAGCCAAGTGGTCGCTGTCATAAATTAGCGTTTCTAATTTCCCCATAGTAGATGTTTTTAAGTTAAGTCTAGCATCAGCCAGTATCAAGTCCAAAAATGAATTACTTTTAGGAAAAGAAGGTAAATCTGAAGCATATAAAGCCATTCTATATAAAATTTTTTTTTCGTCGAGAAATTTTTTTAAGAATTTTCCACGGGCATTATGTTGTAAATTACCCCAATCTTGATGTTTTGCATTAATATCTCCACAAATCACATAATAATTATTATATTTGTCAAAACCTAAAATTTCAAGCATTCTGCAAAATTCATTTTGAAAAGTTTCGGTATTTCTAAGAGATGCATAAACTGATACAATAAATAGAAAATTATTGTTTTGTATAGGTATTTTTATTGCACAAACCTCCAGACATTGGAACGACGTAAAATTAGAATTATCAATTTGCTCAAATCTTATGTTTTTTTTAACAAGTAAAGCAGTACCACCTCCTATATTAACTGTTGGTCTATCATGTCTAACTATTTCGTAATTTCTTAAAGATAAACGTATATTGGCATCAAGTTTGGTTTCACATAAAGCAACAACATCTGGATTATTTTTAGAAAGAAAGTCAATCAACGAAAATTGTTTTGCAAGCGATCGACATGAATTTACGTTAATAGAATTTAACTTAATATTATGTTTATTTGGAGTTGTTTTAGTCATGGATATTCTCCATAAGAAAATCTACTCTCTCAGAAATTCCATTAACCTTTTTATCTAATTGATTAAAGCGTTCACATAAAGTGGTGAAATTTTGATTTAAACCTGTTAAAATTAACATAACACTCTGTAATGTAATTTCTGGGTTCATTCCAGTAGTAGAGGCAACATTTGTAAATAAATTGCTATTCGTATTATTATTACTTAGATTATTAATATTATTTTTATTATTTGCAGCAACTACATTAGCAAATGATAAATTTGAGTTAACATAGTTCTGTATATTATTTACCTTATTTACAGCTTTTGTAATTTTGTTTTTATGTTGTGTTTGCATTCTCTCCTCTCTTTGAACATAGTTTTGACATTGACGATAAGAAGCAGGGTGACCATATTTATTACATAAAATGCAGAATAATTTATCAGCTGGACTATTCTTAGATAAACTGCAATTAACTGCCAAGTGATTTTGCCCACATTTAACACATCTAGGCTCCATATTACAATTGTAGGCTGAATGGTTAAAACGCTGACATCTAGTGCACTGAGCGATTGGTTTCTTTTTTAATTTTTCCCATTTTACTATTTGATTTTCAAGATGTTTTATGGCAAATATACTTGACACATTGCTGTCGTGTCCCGCTTGCACGATGTATATTGGCAACTTTTTATTTTCAAGAGTTGCTTTTTTTGTGTTCAAACGGAGAACTTTCTTAAAAGTGACATTATCAATTTTTAATTCATTAAGTAATTTTAGTATATCGTCAGGTGCGTAGTCATTATGTAAACCTTTCAGTGTTAGATTAATAGGTTTTTCAGATTTTAGTGTATAAGAAAAACACTCGACGTTAGCTTGTTTTAAAAATTCAAAAATAGTTTTAAAAGTTTCAATATCTTGTGTATATATCGTGTGTCTTCCTTTATTTGTTGATTTTATCAAAAAATTATTTATTTTTAATTGGCCTTTGATTAGTTTTTTTATTGTAGGTAAATCTTCCGATTCAACAATTATAGGTGGAATATTTTTGTTTCTTTTGTTGTTGTTGTTTACATTGTTGCTGGTGTTATTGCTGCTAATGTTGCTGGAATTTGATGTACCTGCTATGTTTTGACAAATTGAATTCGTAAGTGTAGAATTGTTTTCATTATTTCCGGATGTTTTGGTTTGGTTTTTTTTTTTTTCTTTATTTTTCTTTCGTAGGACTTCAACAAAATCCACTTCATTTTCAATGGATAGTTTATCCGAACATAAATTATTTTCACCAAAATCAAGATCCATATCACCAACGCTAGGAACATAGGAGCTGGATGCCTTTTGATTAATATTTTCGTCAGAATTATTCTTTGAAATTAATTCATCAACCTGTTTTTGTAATTTTTGCAACTGCTTTTTTAAAGATGAATTATCTTGCAACAGTTTTTTATTAGCTTGTGCTAATTTTTTCGTTGCATTTTTGGCTGACATTGCGCTCTTAAGGGATGATTTTCTGCTTGTTTTAATACAATCCTTTATATTATTTGGATCATCGTTTTTTTGTGCTGAAACCATGTGGTAAATTACCACCAGCACTACAGAACAACCGATTTTTTATAGTATATAGGAATTTTACACTTATAATGTGCA